TGCGGGTCGGATTGATTTTGAAGATCTCGACTGTGAAAATAATGGTACATCGTTACCAGCCATTGATATGATTTGGTCGACCTGATGATCGTCTGGTGCATGTATTTTGTGCATTAAACTAAACTTACCCCAAATTCCGGTCGTCGTTTGGTACAAACAGGACTGTTCGAATGGGTATGGCCACTGAAGACCAAGCCTGAAATAAGATCTGGATGGTGGAAATTCTGCTTGGAAAGCAGTAATGGTTTCATGATTAGTGGCGTGGGAAAGTTTGATAGCATAGCAACCAAACCAAATCTCCCGTTTGGTTGTAATCACTTGGATGGTTGGCGGATGGACAGAATTGGCTATGAGTTAGTGGTACTTGAGGTATCTAAAGTTAGGAAGTTAATGCTTGTGCTATGGGGTACCAAATGTTACTAGAGAATTTTACACTGCTAAACTAGATGTTGCTTTGCAACTGATATCAAATTGATAGTGGGAGAAGGTTTGTTCTGGGGACGGTCGTTGATTGACAGATTGATTCCAACCCATTCGAAGCTCCCCGAAGTATTTCAGCGGCGTATTGAATTTTGAATTATTGGAAAGACGAAAGTATAAGGCCATTGGACGACGGTAATTTCCAGATACAAACGGTTTGGAGATTGCACCAACCTGGGACAGCGAATGGAATGATCTGATCAAATCAAACGGAGATCTAACGAACCGGTGGCTTAAAATAAGCTGGAGACGAGGAAGGTTTCCAGTTGGAAATTATATCGTGTACAAAGTACCATAGATACGACCCATATGTTTCCGGAACGCATTCGCAAAAGGGTTAGTCCATTCATATTGCATCTGAGCTTCACAGGTAGGGGATTCTTCCCTCTTTTACCCCGTACCCTTTGCACTTCTCTTGAAACACGGTTGAGGGAAGTCTCTTTTTTTGATGGTACAAAACATGCAAGATGATCAAGGTCTGGGCGAGATCTGAATTCTCACGTATTGCTTCTTGTTGATTAATTGTTGGTAAGGGATTATTGATGCGCTCAGGTGTGATGCGTTTGCCTTGTTCTCCTCGTCATTTGCCCAATCACCAGCACATTCAGCCCTCCGTTGCAGACAAGGCACTCAGGAATAGGGGAAAGAGGTGCATTACCCTGATGTATCTTCTGTCGTTGCAACGTGATGTACATAGGTATACCCTATATAGAAAGACATCAACGAGTCAATGGTAACAAATCCATGAATTATGCAGGAGATGGCAAAGCGTAGAAATTGATCAGCACACCAATCTCGAGCCCGTGAGAAATGAATCAAATCAAACTTGATGGTATTGTTTCCTGTGTTGACATGGTTTGATGCATGTATGCAGGTATTCTCAAGCGTGTCAATCCAGGATGTGTGAATGGTTAGATTTCAATCGAAGTATAAGAAGTTTCGATGGATTTTCAAGGATGTCTGGCTTCTATTGAATTGAGCTGGGGATGTGAGTTCTGGGATGAGTGAGGGAAAGAGATGTACGGAGGATGTATGCCATTAGAAATTGGGCAAATTACACCTCCTACGTTTTGGGAGAGAAGTATATAATTTTGATATTATCGTGATGCTTTTAAGAAGTATACCGACCTAATAAAACACTCTGTCCAATCTTGGTTGGAATCATCTCCAGTCTCTACCTAAATTCAGTTTAGTCACATGGAAATCACGTTTTCATCTGTGTAGACTGTACATGCACTTCTTCCAATATGAGTGGAGCGGAGTTTACCAGGCCATTTATTCCTTTGAGTGTGTGAAGTATGAAGTGTGCAGTGTGCTTGCTCTGCAGTAGTGATACCAAGCGCACGCCCAAGTTTCTAAATTTATTTATTGATTTGATTACATGGCGAGGGATGGTGAGGTTATAACAGAGCGATCCGATCAATAGTCAGAGTGTCATTACTTTTTTCCCCTTGACGCGTTTGGGCGTGTTTTGATGAGTGAGGTGGAATGGAAATGTAGGAGATCAGGAACCAATATGAAGCAATCCATTGCACAAGCAAAAATCATATGTGAGAGTGTCGAGAATACGTAAATCATGCAGAGCCAATGGAATCAAGCAAACGCGACTTTTGCACATTGTCTGACCGGAGCAGCTGCAAAGACTATTTAGTATCCTATCCTATCCTACTGGGTATCCTACTGGGTATCCTACTGGGTATCCTATCCCATCCATCAATTGATACGAATCGTGCCATTTCTTGAAATCTTGGACACCTTTTTCCTCCGTGCCATTGCCATCTATTCCCCGGACCGTACGATGGATGCACTTGCCCTGGGTAACTCTTGTTCCTCTTCTTGGTATGGCTTACACATCCGCTTCCCTCTGATACCATGGCGAGTTAGACAGGAGGGAGGTAATTGTGCATATACCAAAGACTGGATGTAATACTCTCTACCGGAATTTATGGAAGAGACAGGATATAATGCAGGTATAATGTATAACGTAGGTACAACGTCAATAGGATAGGTAGAGGTAGAATTCAGCTGCCAACAGGGAAAGCGCGTTCAATTAGAATTTAGAAGACATTACTAGGTACCTACTTACACAGTACACTATCTACACTACCAGACTACCTACCTAAGTCTTGAACCATCAAATTGCTTCCGTACATCCAGTGAGCCAGTGTCATCCACATCCACATACTTCCGGTCGCTTCATCTAACCACAACGCCGACTAGGGATTTTTCGTCTGATGTTCTTGACCTGATGATGAATGGGGAGATGTGACCAAAGAATCAACGTATGGTACGTACTAGGTAGTCACAATCATGATGATGATGATGATACCTAGGAATAATAAGACTTCCTACTTTTGTATGACTTCCCTATCTAGGTAAGCAGGAGGAATCTAGAGCGATGGATATTATCTTGGTCCATCTATCGGTCTGTTGTCTGTTGATCCATCACGTATAATTTACTATTTACTATTTACTATTTACACATTATATACACATTACACATTATATACAATTTACACATTATATACACATCACACATTACATCTACCTCTCTCCACCTCTTCTCTTCTACTTATAGATACTTTTCTTGATGCAGCAATAATTCTTCCTATTAACCCAAAGAGGAAAGTCGTCCCCACTTGCAAAAGCACCATACGAATGTGCTTTTAATACTCCACTTCCCTCCCCCCATGTCAAAAAGTAATAATCTTCATACCATTCCTCTTACGGTGTAGAAAAAGGTCCATTACTCTCAACCTTCTCTCGAGATCCATTCGATCCATTCTTTCACTCCTTGAACTACACAAACCTCCCCTCTTCTTCTTCTCTCTCCAAATTTCTTCTCTCTTTTCCTCTCCTCCGAAAGTCCTTCTCACTTCATATATCAATAGACGGGCATAAAGAGGTCATTTGATAATTGACACCTGGTTATGTTGAAGCTCGAAGAAATTTGAAAAATCAAGCAAGAATTTGGCTGGAAGATTGCTCGATTGCAACTTCTTATACACACACATCCACATCACACAATATTCTTCACTTGAACTTTCATTCGACTGTCCATAGCTGTCACTTTCTACGAGGAAAGAAAGAAAGAAACTACCACACACACCATTCACCCCTCCTCATCTTCGTCCAAAAATCACGAGATTATTCTTTTCTGGATCGAATTGAAGACATTCATCATCGTCGTCTCATCATTCAATTCAGCAATCGAAACCACCTTCCTCCTTCCTCCTCCACACTCACACTCACACCCACACTCACACATACTTCACTCGAATCACTTCTCGACTTGAATCCTTTCCCATCTCTCTTGATACTTACCAGAACAAATTCAATCTTCCAAAAAAATTGTGTTCTTTCTGCCAACAAGGTTTCGATCAGTTCTATTCTTTTCCCAATCTCATTCTTCGATCTCGAATACCCTCGAATTGTTTCAATTCTCGGTATTGTTTGTTTCGAAGTAATAATTCTTTTCAATAATCTTCAAGTGGTACCTCTTTTGTTGTCAATCTCAATCTCGTCAACTCTTTTTATAAAAGTTAGAGAGGTTTAAGATTTGACTCCACAATTGAAAGTCAAGAATACTCGACAATTCCAGGTGAGCATTTGAACTCCTCCCCCCCTCCCCTCCCCCCGAACTTTATGCAAAAGTCTTGTCTTCAAATCTCCTTATCCTTCCAATTAAACAAGCAAAATCCTTTATGAAAGGCATTGACTAACATTTTAACTCTTGGTTCCCCTTACTTAGTTAGCATTTTTTACATGCCAACGTTCGCTCATCTCACCTTGAACATTCTTCCACAAAAGCTCTACGTTCCTCCTCTCAACCCAATACTCGGCACGTAATTACACCAAATATTTCAAGCAAGATCAAGATAGTCAAAGATCGGAGACGTTTACTCGTTCATCCTATCTTAACTTCGGCGGAGAATATCTTCGAAAAACATTTCTACGCATTATCCTCTCATTGTCTTCCATCAAGAGGGATCTACCTTGGTGAGTCTTGAATTTCCAAATTCACACTCGACTCCCCCCCCTCCACGAACAATACCATTAGCTTCATGCGTTTTTGATGACCAAAGAAGCATTCTCCTTCTCCACCTTCATATGATGAGGCTTCTCCCTTTTCCACGATCTACTCCACTTCCGGCTGAGAGTCTCGCTAATCCCATAATTCACTAGAATTTCCACCGTATCTTATAAAGTGATATTCACCTGCCACCTCACCAATATCAACTTTTAAAGGTTCAGCTTTACAGTTTTTCGCCATCCTTTTTAAGAGGCCATTGTCGTTCATTTTCGAATTATAGTTCCACACACACTCTCTAATAATAATACACCAACGTATCGTTCTTTCGAACCATACAGCACATTCTTTACAATCGACAATACAGCAATCCAGTGACTATCGAAAGCCACTGTCAAGTCGAAGCTCCTGGAGAACTTGACGTCCATTCTTTCCCTACTACCAACCACCAAAGTACCTACAACTTCAAATCACCTTCTACACCTACAACATGTCGTACAATCAACCTTGTGACACGTTCTTCGTGGAGGATAATACTTTCCAACAACAGCAGCAACAGCAACCTCGACCAAACTCTCAAGAATATATCAAGATGATGGGTCGACGGAGGCAGGAAGCCATGGCCAATGAATTATCTAGACAAGCTTGCGATGCTTATATGGATGATATCATTGATCACATGGCATCGATGGAGGTCAATTATTCTGCATTCTACTGGCTGTATGTGACTTGATGCTAACATTTTCCACAGGATGCGACTATGCCGGACGTTGCCTCGATAGAAATTCAACAGGAGATTCAATGGTTCATGAGGCCTTATCTCATCGACTCCTTATGAGCCCACTCTGCATTTCAACTTCTTCCGGAAACTCTTCACCTCGCTGTTAACCTTCTCGATAGATATTGCTCGCGACGTGTTGTCTACAAGAGACATTATCAATTGGTTGGATGTGCTGCACTTCTCATCGCTGCCAAGTATGGAGACAAAAAGGAACGCGTCCCCATGATCAGAGAACTAAAGTCGATGGGCTGCTCGTTATACGACGAGGAGATGTTCACACAAATGGAATGGCACGTCTTGAACACCTTGGAATGGATGATTGGTCACCCTACCGTTGATAGCTGGTTGCAATTGGCCTTGTTGGAAGGACCTGAATATGAAGACATGACCGTCGAGCACATGTCATGGTACATCTGTGAAATGGCTTTATATCACAAAGAATTCGTCTCAGTTAAACCTTCAGCAATGGCTCGTGCATCTTTAGCACTTTCGAGAGATATCCTTGGATGCCCCGAGATGGATACCTATGGACAGGTCGATTCGGAATTGATGCTCAGTCTTTCTCGACAACTCAACCAACCATCTTCCGTCCTTGCGAGGAAATATGCTGCCCCACACCTGTCTAGAGTCTCTGAAGTGCTTCGACGATTCCTTCTCCAACAAGCAGCTATGAGCCAATGCCATGTCACCCCACCAACTCCACCTGCTGAGCCAACCACTAACCAGAAGCCAATGCAACAACACGATGTGTATAGCACCCCACAGAAGGTGTATGGACAACATGTCATCAATGGTTACCTCACGCCACCAATCACCCCAGAAGGAGAATATTTTGGTACAGGGAATGGAAATGAAATCAAACCGTATCAAACTTCAGCACCTAGATGTCCGATTACCCCAACTCCTCAAGCTCAGATGCAATATAATCAATCACAACAATATCAGCAACAACCATATCAACAAGATGTCGTCATGCAATAATTGAAAATTTCCTGGATTTGTTCGAATTCCCCTCACTCCTTGCATCATCTACGTCTTGATCTCGGACATCATATCACACAAAACCTTCACATGTACCACAATTTGTATTGATTGACCCAATTTTATCGGTCATTTCATCAGCATTCGATCACAAGCCCAATTCTGCGGACTTCATCGTTTCTGTGTTCGGCATCAGCGCTTTTCATCGACCTATTTTTTTTTCATTAAAAAATATCTGGCATTAGCGAATCGTCGATTTTTATTTTCTCTTCAAAATCATCTTGTCGTTCTAGCGTTTTTTATTTACAACACACAATTACTACACACACACACCGCTCTTCAGCAACCCAATTTTTCTTTCTTTCCTTTGTTTCTTTTCGGGGTGCAATCTTCCTTTTGATAGTAATTGAAGAGGGAGAAGATGTGACTAGAGAAGAAATAGGAAGGAATGGAGTTGGTATTCTGAGGCGTGGATATTTTCTTTGTTTCTGCAGGAAGTTTTAAGTTCTCTTCATACCCTTCTTGCACACCACATTCGGGTCGAATCGGGTCACAATTGAATAAAAGTTTGGGGCTCGAGGAAGATAATGGATGCATTCATTACTTGCATGCATACTTTCTTAATAGAGGTTATGCTTCAGTAATGGGTGGACGTGGATAGATTTCTATTGAAATCTATGGTAATGGAAGGATGAGAGATGCTTTCCATTATATCTTAATAGAGATTGGTGCATGGGGAATTTGGTGGAAGAAGTCTTTATTTCGGGGTGGTTTTTGTTTGGTAGGATAGGGGCTGCGGGCATGGTTGGATGGAGATACCCAAGATCAGATCAGAATAAGAATGGCTGCTTGCTTACTTGCGTTCCGCAATGGTTATGGTAATCATCTACTTGATACCATTATTCCATGGATTGGTGGATGTGGAGGGGTTGTGAAAGAAGTGCATGGGGTTGGGAGCATGGATTCATGGCTGGATAGTTGGGTGGAGAGATGCATGGGTACTAGATAAAATGGATAATAAGATACCCGATCATCATAATTTTTGTTCTAATTGACCTATTTGTGGGTGGTGATGGTAAAGATGAATTTTGATCATGTAATGTGGATTTGATTCTTTGGTGATTCGTGTATTGCACAGCTTCCTTTTACACACCTGCATAAGAGATGTGTATTCGGAAAACAACTTCTGCAGTGCAGAAAGTGATCTCCCCTCATCTCTACCTCATCTCTACTTCGTCTCTCCTCTAATATTTCCATGTTGTTTTTTCGCATTAATACATGAACGACGAGTGAATAGAGTAAAGTAGAGTGATGTGATATAATGTAATGGTAAGGTAAGGTAGGTAAATGTGTACATAACTAGTGTTTTGGAAGCTACCTAGGTATGTAGAAGGTGCTGCTGGTATGTTCTTACTTTTAAGGTGGGATGTGGAGTGGTTGGTGTATGTAGATTGATAAGATGAGATGGGATGGATGATATGGGATGTGTAATTGGTGTGGTGGGAGGTACTGGGTGGGTGGAGGATGAGGGGAGGAAGGGGAGGAGAAGGGGGAGGAGAGGGAGGGAGAGGGAGAGGGAGAGGAGAGGGAGAGGGAGAGGGAGAGGGAGAGGGAGAGGAGAGGAGAGGGAGAGGGAGAGGGAGAGGGAAGAGGGGAGGGAGAGAGGGAGAGGAGAGGAGAGGGAGAGGGAGAGGGAGAGGGAGAGAGGAGAAGGGAGAGGGAGAGGGAGAGGAGAGAGGGAGAGGGAGAGGGAGAGGGAGAGGAGAGGGAGAGAGGGAGAGGGAGAGGGAGAGGGATGAGAGGGAGCTGAGAGGGACAAGTAAAGGGAAAAGAAAGTTCGGCTTGGCTGGCTGGCTGCGGATATGGTATATTGATATTGATATGTATATATAGGTGTATGTAAGGAGCAGTTGTTAGATATTAGATATTGAATTAGTTGATGGGTAGCTAGGTAGGTGGTAGGTATATTGTTTAGGAGATGGGCATTTTGATTGGGGGATATTGGGGAAATGGGTGGGAGGATTGAGGGAAATGGGGAGGGGAGAGAGGGGAGAGGGAAAATGAAAGGGATTGTGGTGAGGATTGGAGGGGATTTTCTTGATTGATTGATTGGTTGGTTGATTGGTTTGGTTTGGTTTGGTTTGGTTTGGTTTGGTTTGGTTGGTTTGGTTTCTGTGGGTGGGAATGGGAGTGGGAGTGGAAGGGGGAGAAAGGTGCGGGATATGGGTGATAAGAGGGAGGGGAAGGGAGGTATTCTATAGCTGTGGTTGGGGCTGGGGCTGACCTTTGGTTCTCGTATGTTATAGTATTTGATATTTGATATCTGAATATATGAATTCGGATGTGGATATATATGGATGGATACCTATGAATATGAATATAAATCAGGGCTTTCGATTAGAAAGATGTGGTCAATTGTGGGAGATGATGAGATAAGATGAGATGAGATGTGATCGGATTGAATCGGATAGTATCAAAGATTTTTTTTAAAGGGAATAGTTTATTAGGATATCATGTGGTTATGAGAATAGGATGGATAGGTATTATCTGAAAATACCTAGGTAGGTAAATTTGTATGTGGGAATGGAAATTTGGTGTTGAAAGTGTATGTAGATAGGATGAGATATTTGCAATTGGGGGTTAGGTTTATGTGATGAGTTGGAATGGTATGGTGTGTAGTGTTTTTGGATTTGGATTTGGCTTTGGATTTGCGTTTGGATTTGCTGGATTGGGGGATTAGGTTATATATAAAGGGAGATGGGATGGAATTTAATGAATTGTGAGATTGGGTTATATATAAAGTGAGATGGGATGGAATAGGATTGAGATGGATGGGATGGGATAATAGTATATAATATTTTAAGTATTCTAATATACAATACTGAGAATACTATTTTAAAGAGAACACAAGAAGAAAAGTATCTAGATAATATAAGTAAGATTATATACATAAAGAAGTAAATTCTTTTTCTTTAATCGTTAATTCTTTATTAGAAGTTAGATATTTAAAAATAAGTAAAATAAACATATTTCTTTTAATAGTTCTTATATAATAGATAGAAAGCTATAGGGATATCTTGAAGATTGAGATTTAAGAGTGTATATAAATAATTGAAAATTAGATAAGATAGATTATATGAAATATATTAAATATTAAGATACTTGAATTTTTTATACTATTTAATCTATTTATATTTTTGTATTTGATACGAGCATTTGAGTTGAGTATTTTCTTATCTTTGTAAAGATATAGAAATCCTATAAATAAGAATGATAGTAATATGTATTTGTTAAGTTTTCTTAAGAGATGAGAATTTTCAGGAGTTAATATTCTCTTTCATTAGAATAACTAGTATTCGATTCTCTTCTAATGAAGTTGAGATCGAATACCTAAATATCTTAAGCGAGTTTGTGTTACCAGATATTGTAGTAGGGAGGTACTAGCAAGACTTCTCTTTGTTTAAGATGAGAGGTGAGTGAACAAAGTATTGTTCTCTCTTATTACATTATTTAAGTGTACGCGCACTATTCTAGATATCTTTAGAGAGGTAAATTCATTCAAGTTACTTCAAGTCCCATTCACACATTCATGCATTCATTCCATTCAATCTTTACATTTATATTCCAATCAAGAATTTATTATTCTCATAACCTAGATCTACAATAATCCTAACCCTCTACTATATATTATCTACTCATCTCATCTCATTACCTACCTACCAATCACATAACCACCCAAAACCCCCCATCTATTCTCCCCGTTCTCCTTCTCCTCACAAACACACCGCACACATCTTCTCCTCGCCTCCCTATCTACACGATGGAAAGAGGGACAGTCTTCTGGAAAACATAGGGTGTGACGTTTGATACCGACAGAGACGGAGTCGACGCTCGTAGTGAGAAACAGTCGAAATCAAAAATTATGCTCTTACACATTTTGAGGGTTTGAGTTTAGAATTCGGGATTGGGGTCAGATAATTTTGGAACGGGAAGATATCAGAATACTTGGGGGTATGGGTTGTGAGTGTCAGGGTGGCAAAGGGGGAGAAGGGAGAATATAAAGGTGGTGACAAGGAGGGTTGCTTATATATAGGACATGAAATGGATGTTGTTCTGATGATATTTCTTGTTTCACAATCCGATCAACTAACTTTTGTCTACTTGGAGAATGTGGTAGATCAGAATAATGATGGAACAATTCCGTATCTTCGATTTCCAGGGAACGCTTTTATTTTCTATCTGAGAAGTTTGAAGAGCCCTCGCTTTACGGTTCGAATGACCGTCGCATGTTATGAGAAGAATTCTGTATACTAAAATCTCTTCAACCAGACGACATCACTCACATAATCTCAGATTCAAAATGCTTACAATACAAAGATTGATATCAGACAGTAGTTTCATGTGATCAACGCGATGATATAGTCCTTTGACTTTGTTGGTCATACGATATTACACAGTGTCACTTGAGATTGTCGACATGTAAAGTTTGGAAACCCTAAAGTCTCGTTTGTTGTTGATCAGTCATGATGCGCATAGTTTGCATAATATAAACTTCGAGACTTTACGAACTACTTGCGGGTCTTATGAGGGTTTATAGTACTATTCTCTATAAATTTATAGATGAGTCGATAGGGCAATAATATGAGAGAAACATAAAATCAGATCAAAGGAAGCTAGCTCTTGGAAAAAAACGATTTGCAGTCTAGCGCACTTTTCGATGGGGTAGAGTAGAGCTGTGAGAGTACACTTTATAAGAGCCATGGACGGCTAATTTTGAGCAGAGAAGTTATGAGGACGTTAGCGGAATACCTGAAGTGTTGTGATTCCACGTCATGTTTGTAGCACTTGCTAATTTGTTTGTAGGGGGCCGATGAGTGAGGATTAGCTGATAATTTTGATTCTATACAATTTAAAATATCTCATCATCGTTAAGGAGTTGGAAATTAGTATATCCTGATATAAGAAAGAAGCCGCTTCATAACTTCTAACGCCAAGCTGTAGACATCCAAGCAGAATAAACAACGGTGAACCTGTACAAATTTCTTCAACTAAACGCACGCCGGGTATCCGCTTTTGTTCCCAATTCAATTCTCCACTTCTAATTCATCCACCCCAAGCCTCCAACCCATTTCCTTTCATTTCCGTTACTCCCTGCACAACCCAAACATTTCCTTTCCACTCCCAAGTTACTCACAGCACAGGAATGACAAACTTGTTTCCCACAATTCGTACATGCATGATTTGTCTCTCCTGCTCCATACATATCAATGTCCATTATAGTATCTACATCCATTTCGTCACCCCCTTCCGTGTTCGCTAGTGATGCATCGCAATCCTCGCAGTTGGTCGGTATTAGGTGAGGATGTGTGATTGTTTTAGGAGAAACAGATGTGGATGATGTATAAGAAGAATCGCTACTCGGTGAAATTTGACGGTTTGATGGCAATTGCCAGAAAGAATGGAGTGAGGCTTGTTGTGGAGCGTTATTTGGTGGGTTAGGTATTATGGTATGAGGCGAAATTGCCGAAGGTGAGGGCGGTGGCATGCAATTTGTATTTATATTTGAAGGTTGCTGCGCTGAATAAAGGAGGGAGAGGGTATGTTCTGTAGAGTTGATTAATATTTGACGCGCAGCTGTTGGATTGTTAGAATGAGGACATACGATGGACGGTGTCCTCATTTGGTCGATTATCTCTATGACGCTTCCTGGTACGAGAGGAGAAAAGATTCGGTGATCTTATTGATGGAGAATCAATATGCATAGAATTGGAGTTGTTGGAGTGTAGAGGACTGGATAGGAGAGATGAAGTGGTTGAGATCTCAGATTCGGAACGCTTGCGCTTGAGAAACATTTTGATTATTGACGTCGTGAAATAAGCCTTAGTTGAGCTGATAACTTAATACTATTGATAACAAAAGGAATTGACAGATTGAATAAGACAAGGGGATTTGATGTTGAATTGATGAAAGAATTAGAGAAGGCTGGACACGACATTGATGGAGCCACTTTACGCGAGGAGACGCGCTAGCTTGATTCACCAATGGGTAGGTGCATGGACTGACGGGAACTTCTCAACTTCAAAATTTGTAATAATTCCATTTTTCAATTGTTTGATATCAGAATCTATATTTTCATTGTTTGACCTTTGGTAAAGCATTGTAAGAATTCCTAGATCTTACAAACCGAGATTTTGGATGATAATAATGCTCAATCATTTTTTGGCAGTGTTTCGCCAGTCCGTACACATCCACTAATGATTTACAGCACGCGGATCGCACGTGTATCGATGCTTGAGCTTTGAGTTTGACATTGACCTTCAGTTCAAACAGACACAATTATTCGACCATTTCGCTTTCCTATGCTATTGATGTTGCCTTTACTGCTTCTGTAGCTTAAGAATGCACTGTTGTTAATTGAGCTTCCTGGGGCGACCCTCTCTATTGTTACATTTGAAATCTACTGGGCTCACAAGCTCGCCGGCTCTGGATAACTGCATGCTCCGATGCACATTCAATGTATAGCAAGTTATCATCAAATAGCTCAATTGGTTGCACCAAGGTCTCCCATAATCTCTGTATTCACATCATTTCTTTAAATAAGCACAGAGTATCTGGCACCGGAACCCCATGAAGTTTCATGGACTATGAACATGATTTGTACCTTGTGGAAGATGTTGATATCTCAAACATGCGCATTCTTCAAATATCAATTCTACTCTATTAAGGACCACAGATACGACATGCCAGCATTGCCATACTTGATTCTACTATCTACTACTTCTGGAAGTACTTCTTATGTCTGCCTCTAGCTACAACTAATTGTCCAAAAAACACCACAGTATTCCATAGACGACATTGTCTGAAAGCTGAAGTGAAGCTTTCGTCGGGATGGTCCATTCTCCACCAAGCAAATTACATAGCTTCAACATCGCCACCAACAAACACTTCGTTTCATCTTCTCCATAGTTTACTCAAAGCCAATCATATACTCATCTCTCGAATTCCCGCAATAACTTGTGGTAAAATTGTAAAGATTAGTGGTGACCGAGTCCTAGGATGATTCCTGATCTCTCGACAGATACCAGAGACGTAACATTGGAGCTCTCTCTTGACCATACCGCATGAGCTCTGATCCAAATTCCTCTCGAACAATATTAAGAAACAGCTCTGGAGATCCCATCTTCATTTCATTAGTGGTCTCCCGAAGACGTTGCAGTAGATGATCAAACAATTCTGGCAGAATCTCTGTATCAATGCGACAACCCAGAATCACGATTGAGTTGACTGGTCTTATCTCTAACGCGTCAAAGCCATTCCAGTCAAGGTAATCTTTCACTTCTTTCTTCTTTGAGCTCCATGTTCCACTGTATCCGCGCCACATAGTTGGGTCATTGATTCTCAACTCTCCGGCTTGGTTTTGGCGGACAGAGTCTATTAGGCTAGTTAACCTAGCTCTGTTACCTTTAGCTGACATGACATCGAGAAGCTGAAGGTCTAGATCGAAGTGCGGATGAATATTGTAGTGGTGAGAGAGCGCCTCGAAGTCGTTTCGCACACCCACCAAACCTGTCCAAATTTCTTGGATTCAAGAATCATCCTCAATGATAAACCACTGTTGCCAACCATGTTGAACAGCTGATCTCCTAGAACTTGAACATCGAAGGTGTATGTCGTATTCAAGGACCTAATGGTCATCGTAAAGAACGTGATGGCTCCATCTCTCGATAATCCAATTCCGTTTCCTTTACAGCCACAGAAAAATTCTTGGCGCGAGCCATCCTGAATGTTTGATAGTACCGGAAGAAATCAGTTCATTGTCGCGACAGAGTCTATAAGAAAGAAGCGCTTGTCTAAGACATATTAGACTTTTGAAAATGGGCTGGGAACTGAAAGGTTTCAAACATTCTGGGCAATGAAAGTTAAAAACTACTTACCAAATTCTGTGAAGGTAGCTTCTCTAGGTGGCATATACTCCCAGGATCCATCATCCGTGGTTGGTACATTATCCCAGTCTTCGGCTTCTGTATCTGTTGAGCCAACCGCCGTTGGTTCCATATCATCTTGGGGATCATCGTTCCTGTCAGACCAATCTGCGGCTACCGCATCTGCTTGGTTCTCCATAGTTGGAGATGAAGGCCAACCGACTGTAAGAGTGGTATCGTTATCAATACTATCATCTGCTTGGATATCGCTGAGAACAAAAGGCTCGGTGTGCTCTTGTTGAGTCAAGGGAATCTACAAGTACCAAATTTTAGCATGGATAGTTCAAGTTTCACAAAGGATGCATCAGTCAATTTCTGTTGACTTACCTCTATCTCCTGCTCACTCGTATCGGATGATGTTCCAGCATGTTTATGGACAAGCTCGGAAGAATCTGCCTTTTCAGACATAGTGATGTTGGGTGTCTGTAACTTTCAGAAATTTTGTTGGTTTTACAATTCATGAGCCTTTCACAGACAATGATTGTAAAGGGTGTAAAGGATGCAAAATGAAAAGTCTCTCTAGCCACTTCTGTTTTTTGGTGGTGTGTCTGCTTGTTGTGGAGTTGTGTCTATTGACTTGTCAAGGAGGCTCGAATTGTTAACCCCTATGAATTGTTAGTTAGCACTGCCTCGTGCTAGGCTGGCAAATCTTAAGAAATTTAATAATTTCAACACACGAAAACTGATTGCCTGCACCCTGAACAAAAAGGAAATTGGATATTGTTTTACATTGCAGGTGTATATAAAATTCACTCATACAGATTATCAAGCTGGTCGTGTTTGAAGAGGCATCAACATTAAAATATTCAGGCAACCAAATTGGGTTGATATTTAAGCTCTTGACCAATGAAATAATGCCTATGGGATAATTTACTTCCTTGGTACCGAATTCTTGTCATCAGTATACATCTCTCATGCTTTGGTTAGATAAACCATTATGGCCGAGGCTGGCGCCCGCGTTTTTTTGGAAGTCGCTGTATATCAGAGTGGGAGTGCAGATGGAAAGAGGAAATACTCTGTGGTCCCGATCCTCTAGATTAAAGGGCTCATTGTCTGATATTAATACGACATTTAAATCATATTATCATATAGTACTACCACATAAACTACTATATAGCCAAAAAATTTAGACTGTTATAGTGAACTTCATCTCTGTGCTACTATGTGTGAGCTCTTGTGTTGTTTTAGAGCTCTTATACCAGAAAGTCAGAAGGGGGGTACAGACACAAAGGGGGGAAACCTCTTATGATCCCCTTCTTTCAAAGCTTTATGATTATCTCAATCTCAATTCACATCATTCAATGGTTTTCATTTTTGTAGTATTATTGTATAAATTTTCCTATCAAATTATATGATTTGATGATTGATGTAGTGTGTAGAAAAACAAATCCCCTTTATGCTGTACTTTAACTTTCCTGCGAAAATCCTGGCATGATGATACTATCGATAGGCTCTAAAACATTCACTTAGCAACCTATTCCATACCCTAGTAGTCATAAATCGGTTTCTCTAACGAATTCATAACCTCCTTCAAGAGTCTACCGCCATAGATTGTCGACTTTGGATCAATTTTCGGTGCTCCTCCCGTCTTTTCGAAATCCTATCCTGGGAATTCTCCCAAACGTCGGTTATTCGGAGAAATGCTGCAGGTGCATCCGCCTTTCCCTCACGAGACCTGGAATTAAACCCTGGAGATGTAGCATCATGAGCTCGAATCATTGATTGCTCGTCAATGAATTGCATCAAGTCGTCCATAGTTGCTGGGAGAGTGGATGGCTTCCCAATTGCATCCATTAGACCTCCGACAGTCTTTCCTTGCATAATATAGAGCCACTCTTCCAACCTATTCTGCAGTCGCTTATGCAAGCCGTAAAGACACTCAGTGTCGCCTGAAATGTAGTTTCTTGCAGTTCTGGTCAATGGTTTGGTTGTGAGCGGTCGCCAGCCATTATCCTGGAAGTATGCCCCCTTCTGTTTTCTCCTTTAACCAGACATTCCAATTATGTGAGCTCATTGTATGATGACCTTCCCATTTCATAACCTTGTATAAGCCAAAGATGTTCGACTTCGGGGCCCACCGAGATAAAGCTCCATCAACTGCACATCACGAACCTTCCCAATTTGAATCCCAAATTTGTGGAATAAGGTATCCAAATCGCTACGGACATCCCACCAGAGCTGGACTCTGTCATGGGATTCCAAGATCTTCTTGAGAGATAGGCCGTCATCATTTTGACGGTCAAAAAACAGCTCCCTTGAGCTGCCAGACATCGAAGACGTAGGTAATATCGATCGAGATTACGGTCATCGACAGGAAAGAGATGTCGCCGGTGCGACCAAAGCCACCACCTGGGATAGGTTTCCCATTTTGGTCCTCTTCCGGTGTGCCTTCGCAATCGAATGCAAGCTCAACTCCATCCTTGAGCCGAGAGAGGACGGGTAGAAACTTGTCCAGCTTCTCGAGCGTGTCGATGAATACTATTGGAGCGGGCGCATCCGGGCTTCGTTTTGCACCTGTATTGAGAGCGTTCTCGGCTTCCTCGTCTAATGCAGCCATTCGTGCTTCTTCATCAGCAATTGATACCATGGGTTGTCTCACCCATGAGTCATCTGACGGAGGCCATGAGTCGTCCGAATTAGGAGTGGTGTCGCAATCAAATTCAAAGTGTTTGAACCCCAAGTTATGATATGTCATGCGAACATTTTTTGTCCAAAATAATTTGAAATGATAATTAGAATTAGAATTAGAATTAGAATTAGAATTAGAATTAGAATTAGAATTAGAATTAGAATTAGAATTAGAATTAGAATTAGAATTAGAATTAGAATTAGAATTAGAATTAGAATTAGAATTAGAATTAGAATTAGAATTAACAATAAAAAAGAAATTTCATAAGTATTTAATCTCAAAAAATTTTAATAATTAATTTAAATATTTTTTTGGGGGAAGGATCTGAATAGAAATAAATATCCTAAAAAGATTTTTTGAATTTTTAGATTTGAATATAATTTTATAATAGTTTATTTCGTTTATAATATAAGAGCTTTTAATGAATTCTATTATTATTAAATTGAATCAAATTAAATTATATTATATTATAGATTGGATAATAGTAGAATATTATATAACGTGGTTTAACAGTGGGTCGGCCATATCAGTAGATCGGCCATTTTTATCTCGAATTGTTATTCTATATTCAATACGTGTTTTCTTTATAATTAATTATAGAAATTTATTTCAAAAAAGCATGTATAATCTTAGTTATTTAAGCTATTGAATTAGACAAAAATTAATAATTCGAAAGGCAGCTCAGCTTTATTGTATATCTCGATCTATATTGAGTAATAGAATTCGAAATAAATCTAATATAATTGAAAGCTAACCAAAAAGTTATAATTTGATTGAATTGGAAGAGAAGGTATTTATTTAATATATACTTAATATGGATGAGAGAGGATTTTTATTTAAACTTAGAATAGTGGAAGATATGGCGAATTATATTCTCGAATCGAGAGGTGCAAAGCGTATTGGGAATCTCTGGGTATATCGATTTGTAAAGTGTTGAATTGAATTAAAGATGTGTTTTAGTTGTGTTTATGATTTTCAAAAAGCTTTTTGTAAAGATTCTAAGCTTATTGAAAAATGGTTCTGGTTGGTTTCGAATATATGAGCGAAATATAGTATTCTCGATTGTGATTTCTACAACTTCGATGAAACAGGCTTTATAATAGGTATAATAACCTTGGAATGGTAATAATTAATACTAAATGAAGTAGCAGAAACAAAGCAATACAATTAGGCAATAGGGAATAGGCTACAGCGATTATATGTGGTAATAGGGAGGGCGAAACTATATTCCTATTTCTAGTAGTTTAAGGATAGGTTCATCTTTCTAATTAATATATCGAAATCGATTTCTTTGTAGATTAGGCTATTAAATCTATATCTAATAGATAAACAAACAATGAGACAGGTTTAGAATAACTGAAGCATTTTAATAAGTATATTAAGAATCAAAGAAAGAGCAAATATTGGATATTGATATTAGATAGATATGAAAGTTACGAATTATTATTATTATTATTATTATTAGTAATTTTCAACCGGGCCGTATAGGCGAACCTCCCAGGGGGCATTACGGTTGGGCTAACTGCGGGATAATCTCTAATTTACATGATCCCCCTCTCCTAAGAGTGGGGTCTCAATACCCTCAGTAGCCTCTCAAGCGATAGCTAGCGCGCTTACGCTTTTGTCTCCGATCCTCTAAGTGCCTCCGTGTACGCTTTCCGATCTTTTATATAATATTTTGATTGAAAATTGTTTTATTCTATAAGGGTAGCTTTTATATATATTCTAGTGCAGTATAATATATTGCATATATCGATTTTATTCTTTATAGTCTTATTATATCAATTACCTTTTATTCTATATTTATATTCACTCAGATCAATCAATCCATTTCTATTTCCTCTTTTTATTTTTCTAATAGCATTCTAGGGTATATGCTCCTGTAGAAGTTTATTATAACAATAAATTTAGCAAACTTGATTGATATATGTATTAGCTATTTTAGTAATCATTCTTGAGCCGCCCAATTGCGAAATGGGTATTTAGGTCTAATATCTAGAGGCCAGATTTTGTAGATTACAAGGATTTTATAATAATATACAATATGCTCAAGGGATTTGTATACACCACATAAATAATAAATCGTTACTTCCTTGTATTTAAATTATTGATAATAGCTTTCGAAATCGCTGTGTACTAAGCGGATCGCTAGCATGCGGTAGAGAGTAGCTTGTGAGAGTTCTAGTTTATTAGAATATTTATTTGTGCTCCTTGGATTCCATTTCTGATATTGTTTGGAAGCATTGGTTTCTGTTTGATCCACCATACCTGTACTGCCGATTCCATAACAGTTTTTGCTATAGAACGGATACCACTTGCTATAGATCGATTCGTATACCCTGAGGCTGATTTTCTTATCCCTTTGTTAGCGAGTGTATCCATACGCTTATTCCCTTCGATTCCTGTATAGCCTGGTAACCATTTGATCTGGATTAAGTGTGTTTATATTAGTTTGTGATATTTGAGGAAAGCCCATTACAATGTAATAAAGGCTGTACCTTTTATTCCCTATATCATTGATGTGCTATTGATGTATATACAGATTTCCATTTGTTTTATACCAATAATATTTCTGATCGCTGCTTGGAGGCCTCGGTATGCCCCGATCGCTTCCGTGTCGAATATATAAGAGTTGTAATGCAATCCATCGTTTCCTTCGCATATTATCATCTATCCTCTATATACAATATATCCATATTCTACTCGCCTACCGTCCTTATCGGTCTATTCCGATTCATTAGAGAATATAATGATCTGATTGTGTGTATACTTATTCTATTATTTCTGAAACTGCTTTGCCACTATTTCTTTTGTAAGGCTTCTAATAGGATTCATTCAATACTCTGATGTGTAGTGGGACCCTACTAAAGTTGTTTTCTTGATTTGGGGAAGATACTGGTTAATCATCTGGACCTTTATTCTGGCTGACTGTAATTAGTCTTTCTTACTATTGGAGGAGTAGATAGCTTTTATCCCTTGATAATAAAGAGAGTGTTTTGGATTAATAGTTTAAGTACAAAGGATTGCTCTTCATTTTATTTATTCTAATACTACTTTTGCTAATAGAAAAGCACTATCCCTTATTATCATTATATTCAAGGTTGTTCACCAGACTAGAAGGATTTCTCTGATTACTATTTATAGAATCTTATTGATAACTAGAATCGCTCCTTCTAATTAAATACTTATTACTACTAGTATCCTATTTCAATACTATCCAGTGGTTTTTGTTTGTTCTATATACTATATCTCTACCCCATAGAATAGGGCTGGGTATAAGCAAGTGATTATTGCTTTCTGTAAGGATACTGCTAGGGATCCATTTGTAATCCAGGCTAGCCTTTGAATATGATGAGCCAATTTCCGGTTTTTAGCTGCTTGCATTTCGATATACTATTTGAATGTGAGCTTGCGATCAAACTACATATCTAGCTATCATAAAGCCGATTCTGGTGTAATCGGAGAGATAATGTAATTGTGGTTTATTTTGTATGCCGGGTTGATGAAATGTTTGTACTGTGTTATGTGGATCATCTCTATCTTTTCGAATGCAAAGATTATTTTATTCCTAATTTCTTAGTGAAATATGCTTTTCATATCTTTTACTAATATTGCAACATTTTGTTGAACGCTTACCGATAATTGATATAAACAAATATCGTCTGTATACCCAAATCGGAGTTTAGGGTCTTACTGGAGTAGCTCTACAAGATAAAGTATATATAGGATTGGCAAGAGGGGTGAGCCTTATAAAGTATTGCATTCCATTGTATTGTAGCCAGTTATTGCTTCGTTAAGTCTAACCCTGAATTGCCTTTGGGTTAAGAAGAAGTCAATCAGAGCAATCAGATTCTATGGGAACCCCTATCCCCTCATTCGTCTCAGAAATCTGTTTTTAAATAGAGTATTGAATATTCCTTGTATATCCAGCATAATCATTATAATCTTGTGGCCTTTGTTAAACGCTACTTTTGTATTATAAACGAATAACATTACTAAGTCCATAATCAATTGTTTCGGAAGAGTACTATAGTGTTATAGATTGAGTATTTCTTGTATTAGAATTATCCATATTAGATATCTTGCTATAATTCTTTTAAGGCCTTTTTCAATACAGAAAAGGAAAGCAATAGATCACCATAATCATAAGGACATTCAGTTTATCTTCCCCACTTTTGATAGTATAACTACCTCTACTTGCTTTTATGCTGTAGGGAAGTGATTAAGCTATAAATATTTATTGAAAATGGTATATAGAACTAAGCCTATTTCCATTCAGATAGCCTTCAGTAGTCTCATTGTGATTCGGTTTGTTTCTAAGGATATATTCGAGACCCCTATAGTATTACATTTCACTTCCTTTATAAAGATAAGCTCCCCTTAAGATAATTTTTTCCCACTTTAATTATATCCAGAGTCCAGAAGATTATTAATAGTTTTGAAGTGTTATAGAATCTCTAAACATAACAGCTCAGCCTTTTCTTTATCCAATATAATAATGCATTCACCTATTATGATTAGTGGAGAGCAGTATATGGGGTTCAGATCGTGCTATCCAATTATTCTATACAAATCTCGATCTGATTTCATTTCATTAAGGAATTTCCTTCAGTACCCTTTTTTGGCCTATTGTATGTATAATAAGAATGCTCTGCATTCTGTAAAGTAATCGCTATTGGTTGTGCAGTTCCGGAGGTATACATCTCAAGCGATCGTGCAATCGGATATCCACCAGGGGGCCGATTTTTTTATTTTCCGATCTGGTTTTTTTGTTATTCTGATTATCTATTGTAATACCTTCTATATATTTTTGATAGCTCGATTTAGGGTTATATTTGTAACTGCTATCTGTACCTTCCATTTGATTCCCATTATATTAGCTGATACCATTCTTTGAAATAGAGGTAGATCTTCCTTTTTGATGTGATATGTGTATTGGGATCTTGATGTTGAACTCGCTCTTTGTATAATAATAAAGAGAGTATTATAATTGAATCCGTAATGCATATCAGCCCTTACTTCTATATATATTCCTAAGATATTGGAAAAAACTAAATCGATCATAT